CCTTCCATCATCCAATCGACATAAAATACGTCACCGCCGTCATTCCTCTGACTTGCATTCCATCTCCCTGTCGAAGCTTGAACTGCATGCAAAGTCAGCTGATTTCCATTTCTCATCAATGCAGATAAAGACGAGACGTCATTCTTTGACTTCTCCTTCTCAAGTCTCACTTGAATCATTCGTGCTTCTTCCACGATCGACAACAATTGAAGTTCTTCTCGTCCCAAAGCATATTCAAGTTCAGCTTGACGGATCCTCGAGTCGATATCAAGCGACGACGTGTTTGCATCCAATTTCTGTAGCGCACTCTTCAAGTTTCTAATTGCAACTTTTTTATTATCGGCGTCGTTTTTCAGTCGACTCAGTTTCTGATCATTCACAGGCTTCTCGTTTTCATTCGCTGTCGTTGGCATTGACGCTGTCGCTGGAACTGAAGTAGAAGCTAATGGTTTGTCAAGTCCAAGTTGAATTCGTAAACTGTTGAAAACAAAAGCAAAACATAATAAATCAAAATTTAATTAATGACTTGAACATTTTACTGTTGCATGATCGTCTCTCGATCTTGATGCGGTTCTTTGGAGTGTGCTGATGACGTGCTCAAAATTGTGTCCAATTTCGGTGACGACCGCGATGAGACGCTGCCAAGCGAAGTTCCTTTTCGTCTTCTTGAAGCCATTGACAAACTCAGCGATTCTTCAATGTTTGCCATCTAACGAAGTTCAAATTTTCTTTAATTCCATTACAAATCTTTGCAAATATCTTTCTCACCTTTGCTTCCAATGTTTGCAACGTTGCCATTCTCGGTGGTGCTTGGTGAATTGTTGGTGTGATTGGTTTATGATCAAACGATTCCGTTGTGTTCAATAAAATCTGAAGAAAAGAATTAAGAAGTCAACTTGATGAATTTCATTTAAATTTTTCATTTGGATGATGAAAGTGTTCATGTCCGAAAATTAAATACAATGACAAAGCGTAATAGTCAGTAAAAGGGCAACAAGCATAGAAATGTTTGATGTTTTGTTTCTCACTTCTAAATGAACATCTTTCGAGTTCGTTTTTGTGTATCATGTTGGAAAGAAACGAACGAAGAGAAATCTTCGCAAAACAACTGGAAAATCTTAAAACAGGTTTAAACTGCTTCGGCCGGGTCCACATCCAGAATCGGTCCAGAAGGGAAGACATCATGGGAACGTAAAGGCGATCATGAAACTTTTTTGAAGAAAATGAAAGAAACATGCACAGTAATAAAAAATAAAATCGTTATACGCAACTAACGACCGACCGAACGACCGTTTTTCTTCTTTTTCGCTGCTGTTATGTTCGCACTGTTCGCATATGTGCGACTCGACTCGACATTAACACAATAGAAACGCGTGAACAATAGAAATATTTAGGTCGCAGGTCATTTCCATTTCAATCGGCAATGGGAAGGAATAAAAGAACAAGAAGACAAGGAGAAGACGAAAACAAGTTTCGTTCATTCTTCCACGGACATAAATCATTAAAGCAAACCATTCGTACATTATCTTGGTTGGCTTCATAAAATCCTTAAATTTTCTTCTCTCTTACACTTCAATGGGCACATTATGTTGGGCACTTTCTCCCTATTCAGTTGCTTTTCACATCGCTTTAAACAGCGCTTCGGGAAAGGAGATTCGAGAAGGGGTTGGTTGTGTAGTTGTTTGGCCTTTGCTCGACGAAGAATCTCCGAAGGAACAAGAAGAAAATCGTTAAAAGACGAAGAAGTGCATGCACACGTGGTGATGAAATTTCGACGTCTTCAAAGCAGTTGATGATCAAAATTTAAGCAGGCAGGGAAGGTTGAATGAGAATTACCGGTTACGTTGACGATGTCGATTCGGGTTGCACATCAAGGCGGTTCAAAGAGAAATGTCATGAATTTGCAATTGTGCGGTTGAAGTTGAATGTTGAATGAGTTTGGGTAGCGACTACGACAACAATTGAAGCAATTACGGGGATGATGAATGGATTGAGATCAAGTTGCAAGACGATTTTAACTTTGATTGATGAATTGAATTATTCCGCGCGTTTCTCAATGACTTTTCGCTTTTCACAGTTGAGAAAAGTTTTGTGCAACGATATTTTCCCATTCAACATCGATTATTGGAATTAATGAAATGAAAAGCGAATCTCAAGAGATTTCAATTAGCGAATAAACGCGGAAATTTCATTTCATTTCGATCTACGATCTTCGGGCGTTTAAAGCAGAAAATTTAAATCACTTAAAATCGAATTAACATTAATTGTGCGATAAGTGAACGCACATTGAAAATCGAAAGTCGATGTAATTGTTGGGTAATAAATATTTCGTTTTTCGTGGCGATCATCTCGCATTTCTGCCGAACACACGAACACAAGAAATTTATTTAAATTCTCGCGTCTTTCACGGTCGTGATTGTTAGGAAGTCTTGAGGGTTTCATTTCATGTATTAAAATAAACAAAACTCAACTCACCGTTGATGGATTTCTCCCAATTTGTGAAGAAGGTGTAGACGAAGAAACGGCAACTTGTCGCATGAGCTTCAACTTCTGATCCATGTCGTCATCTTAAAATGTGTAATCGAACTCTGAAAGAAAATTAAATTTAATTGAAATTGCTTTGCCTATGCGTGCATTGTTAGCGTTCAAATGGTTGTGAAAGATTCAAATAACAAATTGGATCCAATTGATGAATGAGAAGCGAAACATTTGGAATTGATTGAGGCAGATCATTGCGTTGCAAAAAGATGATTTATTGGCTTCTCGCACTCTTGCCATGACTCATGATTCGCTCCTCAACATGAAATCTCAATAGAAACGCATTTAAATGATAATGCGATGGAGAAATGAGTTGTTTTGTGTCAAGAAAATGAAGAAAGTTTCGAGATTGTGTGAAAAATGCAAAGCAGTGACTTTTGAAAAACGGAAAGAGAAGAAACAATCGCTGAAAGTGAAGATTTTCGAGATGGAAGCAGCGAGCGACGATCTTGATATCTTCATTGTATGGAAATTATGAATTCAACTCTGACTCCCTCCAAAGCTCGCTTAAGTGATTTTTAATTCGACACAAGAGATGCTCGCGAGCAACAAATGACATCTCAATCGTAGATCAAAGTCATGTTGTGCAGCTCTGATGGTTTCTCACTCATTTATGCAAGAACATGTGAAGTAAAACATTCCAAATGATCATCTCAGTTCAAGTCGCGAAACAATTTCTTCTCATTTCTCAGAATGAAATGAAAAAGATTTCCAGAATGCGATTAGTTGAGAAGATTTTGACGAAATTGCTTCAACAAAGTTGTTTGCAATTGTTTCAACGTTTCAAGAACCAGAAAAGATTCTCGTACGTGGATAGCAAAGAAATGAGTTGGCAAAACAAAACAACGCTAAATTACTCTTCGCTTTCAACTCTATCAATGCTACACGTTCATTTATGTTACACAAAACGTGAGAAATTTTTCAAGTTCCATAGACGCGCACGATGTTTAGTCGCAGACAATTCAACTCTCGATGTTTGAGTTGTCAACTTGAGTTATAAACATTTATGGAATTTTATAATGTTCAGAACAATAAATAACATGTGCGTTCGGTTGAAATCAAAGTTGAGATTCGACAACGCAAAACAGAACTGAAAACGTTGCGGAATTGCAGATTTAGCTGAAAAGTACCGCGATTAAGTAAAAAAGATTTTAATGTTGGACAAGTCGTTAGTTGTTTATGGCTGATACGCGGCATGCGAATCCGGTTTACTTCAATTCAATTGTGAAACTCGTAAAAGATCTTCGATTATTGCCTTTGATGTTATCTCAGCTAATGAAGATAATTTGAAATCATATCAAAATTCTGATCAATGATTTGCAATCCGTTCATCTTCAATTGTTCGATTTCAATTTCCCGTTCGATGTTCTCCAACAGATCAGGAACAACAAACGCAACGCAATGATTAATGAAGCTGATCTAACTGACATGCAAAGCTCTCAACTCAGCAACCGATCGAAGGAATTTCTTACATTTGACCTTCGAACAATGAAACGATTTTCAATTCCTTCTCAACAATAATTGAATTCATCAAAGATTTACAAATAATCGTCTCACGGGAGGTTTTGCAAGAATTTCAATTGACTACTAGTCAGTTATAAGTCAATTGATAGGTATGTACACACGTGCAGATACGTTTCGATTCTTTGAATGGTTACACAAGTTTGTAGTCAAATTATTCTGACTTAGTGAAGATGATGAATGAATTTAGTTGAAACATCTGCGAGACTTCCCGTTTTTATTATTCGCACTTCACGACAGCTACTTGAAGGAAGACTCGACGAACTTTGTGTCATGCTCCATCACGCTACTTAATTGGATTCACCGACCATGTGTCATTCGAGACAGAAAAGCCGTTGAACAAATGCTGATGTGAAAATTATGCGAAATGAAAGAAGAAAGCGTCGATGGAAATGGCTAAACATGATCATTGAATGATTCAACGTTCAGTTTCGAATGCGCTTAATCCAAACGAAAGGTAGCATAATAGGAACGGAAACTTTATACACCAATCGTTAAAGAGTTTTCATTTCACTTTCTTCAATTTTATTTTTATTTTTTATGTTTTTATTGCTTCACTTCCAGACCGAGAGAGATTTCGGCGATGAAAAATATGCGAAAGATTTCTGTTTGCGTCTTGCTATTCGTTTTGTTGTTTTGTTTGTAAGCAACCGACAGCGGCGCGCAATTAAAGTCAATTGGAAATCTTCACTCGTGGTGTTTTGTAATCTTTAGTCGAGTCTTAAATAATCCACAAATGTCGAGTGCGAAAGAAGCCTCAAGGAGAGTGAGAGTTGAGATGATGTGCGATGAAACCTTCAACAATTGGTGGGATCGTTTAAGTTACATTTATTCGTTGATCTTTAGAGATCATGTAGATATTGTGGAATGACGACGAGGGCGGTCGAGAATGACATTAAATTGGAAACAACAAAACAAAGAACAAGCTCAAAACATTCCAATCGACTTCATTCCAACCACACGTGGGTCGAAAATTGTTCGTTCGTTTATGCAGCAACCGAAACCAACATGAAACCGATTAAAACAAAATGCGTTCAATATCGAAAACTGTTTCACTTTCCTCTACCACCAATTTCAAGGCTTTTCGGGAATGAATCACAAAATTCTCATTTAATGTTTTCAAGTTTGTAATTTGCAAGTTTTTGAGGCGGAATTGATAATGAAGTTGATTTAAGTTAATGTGGAGGTTGGTTGGCAGTTTCGTCCCAAACCCTTGCAAATTTATTGCATGTCAAATGCAATCGTGAAACAATTTTTTGAATTCCATTGACAGAAGTAAATAAAGTTTGAAATTTGTTATGCTACGAATAGAAAATTGTGCCAAACGAGTGAAATCGAAGACCATCGACAGAATCTGTTCGGATATCATTGAATTAAAAAGAAAACCTCATCAATTACATCGATGATGGATGAGATTGTTTCGCGATCCATTTAATTCGACTGTCGTATAATGAATGCGTGACGATCTTAGATGAACCATAATTACTGACCTGAAAGCTTTTATGAATGGACACACACACACACACACATTAATCGTGGGAGTCTTTGGGTCGTTAACAATGAATTGAGTTAACAATTTCAAATATAAAACGAAATTCATGCGATTTGAGAGCTCAAACATTTCATTTTCATGTACTTCTAGAAGAAGAAATTCACGGAGAACTTCTTCAAACACTTTTTTATTCTTCTTTTTATGTTTTTATGTGTTCATGACCCAACACTGACGAGTTCAGAGTCGAGGCGACACGCTTGAAGAACCAAGAGACAGTTGGGAAATTTCACGAGCGTAAAGAAATCCAATTTATCAGCAAACGACGTGGAAGTTCAGGACGAATATTAAACATAAACGCACGTGTGTGTATGTGTGGATATAAGTCTGGTGATTTATGAAGTGAATTTGTAAAATGCATCATGAGAATGTCGTGAATCAATTGAGGGTGACTTGAAAGAACATATGTTAAAGACAAAGTTAAAGTCTGAAGTTGATTCCAACAACACATGGCTCGTTGAATCGGCACATGATGTTTCTCCACCATTGGAGATCAGGAACAAATTATTTCAAGTCACAACTCGCGACCCAAGCGATTTCCGATCTGAATTCCGTTGACATGGAAAGAAATGTCGAGTCGATTGAAATTACTTCATTACGAACAACACAATTGAAGTTTTAAGAAATTCACAAGAAAAAGATTTGAAAGAATTTCTTAGAAAATAAAACATTTCTGACTTCAAAATCTTCACAAATTGTCCTTGACCACGTGATGGTTCAATTAACTTTTATCGCATATCATCATCAACATCATTATCGCCGATTTCTCGTCTCTCTTCTCATATTTTGTTCAACAATAAGATCGTCGCATTTTTATTCGAGACAACGCTTCGAGTTATGATCCCAAGTTATTATTGCTGGTTCCATCCTTCGATTTATGCCCTCGAGGGAACTTTTCTGACGATTAAACCAACCATAAACCGGTTTTGTATCATTCAACGAAGGCTTATTTTATACACTGACTTCAATTTATTCCCAAATATAAGGAAATAGAAGGAAAGTATCTTTGAATTTATCAAGCATCGATGATCTGGCGATAATTATCCCATTTCAATCTTTACTCAAATTTGATTGATGTTCGCCTTCATCAAAAGGTTTCAAAACCTTTCACGCAACGATTTCATTTACTTACACAAATCATTAAAATCCTTTTGAATGTTAATCCAAATTTCACCTTCACTGTTTATGATTCTTTAATTCACTTTTTAAATGAATTTTTATTTCTTGTTCACTTTTCTTCTGATTTTTAATCTTTTTCTTCTGTTTTAACTCAATTCTTTTGCTTCTTTAATCCCAAACAAATTGGCCAATTTATCATTTCATAATTTATTCACGAAGAAATAATATTTTTAATTGTTATTCAAAGATTTAGCACAATATTTTCCAACAGCTCATAAACACACGTCTTCTTACGACTGCGATCAGTGGTAAACTAAATTCTTCAATTTCACCACAATGTTCATCATTCGCATAAAACATTCAACATTGCTGTGAAACATTGAATGTTTTAGGAAAACAATGAAACATTGGTGTTTGTTGTTACAGATCAAAATTTAGTGTTTTAGATATTCCTAAGATCCGAGCGGCACACACTCGCCGTGCCGGAGGCATACGGTTGCACTGTGGCGATTTTACATTGGTACTCCCTTTGGCTTTTTCTTCAGAAATTGCCTTTTGTGCCGCTCGAGCTTTCAATATATGCATCGAGTAACGTTAAATAAATGTATGACAAGTAAAATTGATAACACAGATGCATGGATACGAATGTGACATAACTAATATTTTTAAGACACACTTCATGTTATTATTGAAGATGAGCAAAATAATTACAGCTCTTCAAATAAAAAATACTAAAATTAACTTGTTGAAAAACAAAATTTATCGAAAGGAGAACATCTCGAAATTTATTTATTGAAGATATGAAAATATGAAATGTTCTACTTTTAATTTGATTGGTAGGCAAGAAAAAAATAAAATTTATTTAAAATTTCAGTGAAGATTCCTTTCAATTTTATTGCGATCAAAATTATGAAAATATTTAATTCGTTTTAGCAATCTTCACCTGGAATTCCACCTGGGGAACAAACCTTTTGTCTGCTCTCACAAAAACAAACACTACATGGCTCAATAATTGGCATTCTTTCGCCATCTTTGTAAGTCATACCATCTTCATGACAATCGCAATCAACTATGGGGCAACATTGACCTGGGGTGTAAACTAGTTCACAATGCTCAGGAACACGATTTAAATTGTGAGGACAATCAATTGAAGCACCCGAGTTTTTTGCGATAAAGATTCCACCAAAAAAGCAACCTTCTTCACTAGCTTCGATACTAGCTTCGACAAATTCTAGATAAATGTTTTGTTAAATTTCATTATTTTAGTTAAATGGTTCTAAATATCTCACTTTCTCGAATCGTAGGTGTTGAAGATACTTTGAAAGAAAAATAAAAATTTAACTTTATTTTCAGAAACTTATTATTTTAGAAATATTTGAGATTCTCACCTGATGTAAAAAGAGCCAAATTAAAGAAGCACAAAAAAATGTCAGAAATAAAATTCATTTTTATAACTCTTCGATGTTCACGTCCTGTAAGAGTAAAGTTTAAACTTCAATTGAATTTATCAGACGAAGTTCTCTTATTATTAGGTGAATACATTTGTAAATTAAGATCTTGACATCTGAATAAATTGACATCATATTCAACGTTTGGTTCTTATATTATAGATTAAAAATATTTGTGTATGAAATTTACTACATCATAATTTTTGCTAAATTAGGCGACGCTTCAATTTTTACTTTTGCTAATTTTTCACTGTGAATATTAATAAAAGAAATTCGCTGAATTTTCCAAATTAGGTAATTCAAATTCATTCATTTTTCCAATAGAATACTGTAAATTATAAGATTGCAATGTTGTTTTACCTTTAAAGTCCTTTCAATCATTTTGAATTAGGTAATTTACTAAAAT